CTGGTTCTCCTCCCTCCCCTCCCTCCCTCCCCTGGGGACCCCGCTTTCCAAATGAGCCCCTTCTCCCCCCTTGGGGCTGGCCGCCGTGTAGGCGTTTTCCCTTGGTTACCTGGCCGGTCTGCATTTCTAACCTCACGCTGCTGCTTAAAGGACGATTTGCAATGTCAGGGCAGCTTTTCTTTCAATCACAAATTTTGGCTGCGCATCTTGTGACTGCTGGCCGCAAGCTGTAATTCTCTAAATACATTTTTTTTTTTTTTTGCATTTGCATTTGCAGGGAAGCAAACCAAAGAAAACGGCTCCTTGTCCTCCGTTTCTGCTCTCGTTTGGGATTTGATTTGCATCATCTCTGAGCACATTTTAAAAAAAAAAAAAAAAGGCAAACCAAACCCACACAAAACATGTTGTGCGGAAGGACTTCCACTCCCTGGCTGTGCTATTAACGTTAGCAATCAGGAAGAGCCTTTGGGGGCTGCAGGATCTCGCTAGTCTGATGCTGCTGCTAAAGGTTTTGGTGCAGGGAGACAAAACTGCTGCCTCTTCCATCCACTGATCTCTCAACATCTGCATTTTGCTGCTGCTGTGCTCCGTCTCACACCCTCTCTCCATGGACTGATTTTTTTTTTTTTTTTCCCTTTCTGTGGGGGGGAGGACAAGCGGAAAATCAAGGCATTGCATTGAGAGAAGTGAAATTGCATTTATATCTTGTGTTCTGGTGGATCTGCCTTGAGGTTAATCTTTTTGGAAAAGAAAACATGACGTCGCCAGCAAAATTCAAAAAGGATAAGGAGATCATAGCTGAATATGACACTCAAGTTAAAGGTAGGAACGGTTTTATTTTCACCTCTTTTCGCTTTCGCAGTCCTGACTTGCAATTGTAGGAGTTTGCAGTGGATGTTTGGGTGGGGAAGGGGGAAATCATTTGCAGACTGCCTGGAATTTGCAGGGTTTTTTCATAATACAATGCTGGATCGGGTTTGCAATGCTTTTTCTTGTCCCCGTGGGGTAGGTTCCTACTATGGTATTGCCGTTTTAAGGTATCACGGTAAGGGCTTTTTTATGGAATATAACAAATCTTTGAGTTCTGAGAGATCCATATTTTTCTGTCTGCTGTTCTAAAATATGGCTTTGCACATTTGAAATATGAGAGCCAGTTAATTGCTTTTTAATCCTCCTCCTATCATGGGAATCTTTTAAAAATCTGTGTAGTGTCAGAAGAGCATATTTCCACTGGTAGTAGCAGGGACCGTGCTGAGGGTCCCTGTAAAGCTGTTTGTGCTAGAAAGTTCCATTATTCAGGATTTTGCTCTTGGTGAGTCCATAATATTACTGCCTGGTTTTTCTTACTGTGCTCTTGAGTGTAACACCTTAAGGTTGCAGTGTGTGTGTGTATACACACATATATGTGCATACGTATATAAATGAATAAAACTAATGCATCAGTGTTATTCCCATCATCGTAAGGAAGGCAATAAAGAGTCAGAGGCATATTTGCAATGATCATGCGAGTCTTCTGCAGAATTCAGTTGGCTGGGTTTCAGGCTATCATGTGCCCTAGGTAAAAAAAAAAAAAAAAAAAAGGATGGTGAAATGTCTACTTAGCTTCTTATTTTTGCAAAGTTTTCAGGATAACGCTTATTTAAAAAAATAATTACGACTTGTGTATGGCTTGATATATCGCTGTTAGGAAATTATGAGATTTAGTGCTTTATCTAATTGGTTAAAACTTGCTTGGTATGCTCATAGCATGCAGGAAGGATGGCCTTCGGGCAGGGTTGATTGAGTTAAATCAATGCGATTTAAAAAAATGTGATTTAAATCTGAGTAGGAAACCTGGATTAAAACTGACAATTAAAATATTGTTTTGCAATTATGCACTTAGTTGTTTTTCCTACTAGGGGGGCTGCTCACTGGTCGCAAATCATTAAAACATGTTGTCCTACAAGATGCATATCCTACACTGACCCTAGTACTCTGTACCTAGAAGTAGTTTTGACATTTATGTTAAAAATATTTATGTGAGCAAATATAAAGCTGGGTAGGAGTTTATTTTCTTCTTTTTTTTTTTTAATTTTTGTGTTCTTAAAGTTAGAAATGGAGAAGAGCGTGTTTCTTTTTTACTTTACTTTCTGTTCCTGTTTTCTAGCTGTCTTTGATGGAAATGGGAATTGAAGTCAGTGTAAAATTAGAGGCTTCTGTGTTCTTTCATTATTTACCCCATCAAAATGTGTGTGATAGAATCAAGCTTGTAGTCACAACATTTGCGAATTGGACGCAATAATAAGGAACAAGGCTTTAGAATTAGTAAAGCGCATCTCCTCGCCTCTCAGATTTTTCATGCATTGGCAAAGAAAAGAAAGCTTTCCCTTCCTTTTCAAAAAAGGGACCGACAAGATGGGTAAAATGGAAATGAGCCTTCCCTGTGTGCAGAGACCATTACTGCCAAAATTCAGTTCATCTCTTAAGGCGCTTATGCGGAGACCTGTCAGTTCAGCCTTCAAACGTGGACCCAAAAGTGAACTACTGTTGTGGCATATAGATATTTTTGCTTTTTGCCTTATAAAATGTTCCTGTCTTAAATATGTGAGGTTAAGAGCAGCGGACCTGTGTAAATGGAGCACGAGGAGCTGGGGGAAGGGGGTTTCCTTCCTGAATTAGTGGCGAGGGCAGCTATGAGTTTGTCTCGGGATATTCATCCCTCTCACAGTTCAGCTCTCCCTGTGTGGGGGACTCCTCGA